GGGGTGTGCAGTGTGTACCCTCCCACTCCCACCCGCCATGGTTGGTTTTTACAGCCATATTGAGATGTGTCCACACAGTATGCAGTTCACCCATTTAAAGAATGCAATACAGTGGTTTCTAGTTCCCGACTTACGATGATTCGGTTCAGAATTTTTCGACTTCATGACAGTGAGAAAGCCACATGTGTCCAGTAGGAACCACCTGTACAACATTCTGTTTCTCACCTTCAGGGCCATATTCAGCAGATTACATGAGGGCTGGCCAGTTGGCTCAGTTGGTTAGAGTGCAGTGTCACAACACCAAGGTCGGGTCTGGATCCCCATACTGGCCAGCTGCAAAAAAAAAAAAAAAAAGAGAGAGAAAATTAAGTGAGTCATTCAGCACTGTACTATAAAATAGGCTTTGTGGTAGATGGTTTTGCCTAGCTGTAGACTAGTGTGAGTGTTCTGAGCATTACATAGGAAGGCCAGGCTAAGCTATGTGTTTGTAGTGTCTTAGTTTTCTGTTGCTTATAACAGAATATCTGAAACTGGGGAATTTATAAAGAAAAACAATTTATTTCTTACATTTCTGGAGGCTGGGAAGTCCAGCACTGAAGGGGCACGTCTGGTGAGGGCCTCCTTCCTGGTGGGGACTCTCTGCAGAGTCCTGCGGTGGCGCCGGGCATCACATGGCGAGAGGGCTGAGTGTGCAAAGGTGCTTTCTTCCTCTCCTTTTAAAGCCCACAGTCTACTCCATGATAACCCATTAATCCATTAACCCGTAATCCATTCATGAGCACACAGCCCTTATGATCTAATCACCTCTTATGGGCCCCACTTTTCTAATACNATTCATGAGCACACAGCCCTTATGATCTAATCACCTCTTATGGGCCCCACTTTTCTAATACCATAGTCGGATTTCCCACCCTCTTCATACTATTACAATGGGAACCAAGTCTCAGCGTGAGACTTGGAGGGGACGTTTAAACCAGAGCAGGTGTGTTAGGTTTATTAAGTGCATTTTGACTTCACATTATCTTCAGCTTATGACGGGTCTATTGGGACATTACCCCATCGTAATTCACAGAGGATCTGTATATTCACAGTGTTGTGTGAACACTACAGTTGGTTTTAGAGCATTTTGCCACCCGCAGAAGAGACCCTGATCGCTTTCGCAGTCACTCCTGGTTCTGCTCCCGGCCTCCAGCCGACCGCCAGCCTGCCTTCTGTCAGTACGGATTGACTTGCCGATTCTGGACATTTTTCGTGTAAGTGGGATCCTATAACGTGGCCTTTTGAGCCTGGCGTCTTTCACTGGGCGTGTTTTCAAGGTCCACCCATGCCGTGGCATGGATCAGTGCTTCATTTCCTTTTTANCCATCTGTGTCTCGGGGCAAAGTGGCTGAGAGTTGAGTCCAGACCCGATTGGGAGGGATGGGGTGAGGAAGGGAGGAGGTCATGGGTGGGCTTGAGGGCCCAGGAGGCGGGTGTGCAGGGAGGGCGCACAGCAGTTTGGGGGTGATGTCCAGGTCAGGGTGTCGCTGGGCAAGTTGGGCACCTCAGAGCTGGGGGCAGCATCAGGGGTGACTGCACCCACAAGGAGGCAGAGGGGCCGACACCTCAAAGAGCAGGAGATGGAAGAGGGTGCCCCAGGCCCACCTCCCCTGAGAGGGCTGCAGGAGAGGCCTAATAGGGAGGTCGCAGCGGAGGCAGACGTTGGTGTCTGGAAAAGGTGCAAGAGCAGAGAAGTGGCCCCACCCGCCTCTCTGGTTTTACGCTGCAGCCTGGGTGGTCTGCTCCTGAGTGCCTGAGCCTGGGCCTGTGCCTCCCAGCTCAGGGTCGCTCCTCTCTAAGTCTGAGAAGGGGTCAGCTGGAGGGACCCAAGGGGCTGGCAGAAGGATTTGGACCCCAGAATTTCAGAGCAGCACCCCAGGGCCTTGTCTTCCCCATCGGGGACCCCAGCCAGCTGGGCAGCTCCCACAGAGCTGGTCCTCACTGGCTGTGGTGCCAGGCGGCTCCCAGATGGGCTGCTGGAGTCCTCAGGAGTGGGTGGAAACCCTGGGGCCCAGGCCCTCTTGGACCAGGTGCCTGGCATAACCGCCCGAGGACAGGGATTTTTTTTTTTTTTGCCCTTTCTGTCTTTTTTCGTGTCCGGCAACGGATCGCAACCCTCAGTGTTGCACCCGTACCGGACCAG